GATCAATATGTTCTTCCCCTGAAATCTATTTTTGTTTCACTTTATATGCAAAATAAGGCTTACTGCTGTATTTGTGTATAGGTGCCTGCCAAGACATCTTCCCTTTTTGCTTTGGTTGATATTTTCATATGTTTTTGTTGTTGTTCTCTTTTGTTTTTGAGTGATAAATACTTCCATTTCCTGCAGGAATGAATAGCAAAGTGAGGCAGATTTTATAAGCTTTATTCATAAAAGTTATTATTTTTACAGTTAGGAAGTCAGAACAGACTTGATTCTTATTTATTTATTTATTATATTCATGGCAACCTAAAATCAGGAACCGGACATGTTCCCTTGTAGTTGTTAGGTTGCCCATCAATACATACGGGAAAGACAGTCTCCTTCCTTATCTGCCTGCAGTCAGATAAGATTGTTCATTCAGGCCTAGAAATGCACCATGGACAAATCTCTCCTCGGAAAAAGGTCACCCTGCTGGAAATGAGGACCAAACTTCTCGTGGCATTGATAGCACCAGCGTCTGCCTTACCAGGCCCTGTGGTGTGGCCATCTGCTAGGAGTCCTGATCAGTCTGCTGGATTTTGGAAAAAAGAAAGAAAGGCAAAAATAAAAAATGGACCGCAGTGAGTTTCTCAGTGGTACCTCTTTGGATTCAGATCCATCCCACATATGTCTCGGTTCCTAAGCTCTGTCTGTAGTCAGTGCAGGGGGAGGCAGGTGTAGGAGGGTGGTTGCTAGAAGCCAAATCATGGTGTGGCAGTGTCTGTTGTTCTCCATTCGCAATGTGTGAAGTTCATGTGAGCTGCTTCCTTCTCTTAGACATTCTGATTTAAGGAAAGTGACTCCAGCCCTGGTACCTTTGAGCTCTGGGACCTTTGAGCCTTGGATCGCAGATAAGTTGGCTTTAGGCTTTTCATGATGCAGCATCACATCAAGATTGGACATGAATGATTGATTCCCCTTGCTCATAGTCTGTTTCCCCACATAATCCTGTTATTGGCGGTAAGTGGTACTTGGAAGCAGAGCAGAGTGGCCTTACGGTTCAGGGCAGGATGTGTGTGTGGATGCTTGAGTTCAAGAGATGCCAATACCAGAGCAGACAATGCAGCAGGGATGGAGTTGGGAAATGACTGACTTGTCATGGTTTGGTGGCTAAATTGGAGAGATGCTGCTTTGGTTGTGTTGAAAGCAGCAAATGCCAAGTGAAGCCTTCAGGAAGCTTTACTTTAAACCAATATGAAATACTTAAGCTTAACCAATTTGTGTTCTAGATCATTTAGCCTTTTTTTTTGTGATTTTTGTTACCTTTTTGAAACAGTTCTTGATACAACTGTTTAACCAGAAAAGCTGAAACAATTCAAACAAAAGTATTTTATGGAGGATCTTCTTTTAGAACTTCTTTTCCTGTAATTTTTTTCCTCCCTTTGTTTTTCTGCTGGAAACTCTTGTGTCGGCTTCAGCTTGAAGGAGCCTGCCGGCCAGGAACCGCACTGCTTCAGTGCAACGTGCATGCAAGTTAGGCCAAACTGAGAGCTGTTACCTGTTCTACTCCAGCAGTAACACGTGGCTGAGGTAAGGAATAACGGATACTGCAATTTGGAGCCCAACGAAGCAGTGAGTCAAGACAGGGCTGGGATGGAAGCAGCCTATGGAGCAGACTATAGACACGTGCACTCGAGCTGTGCTGTGGCTCAGTGCGCTGCTCTGTCTGGTGAGCATTATGTGAAGAACATCAAAGCCACCCTAGTGCGGGCTGATGTGGCTGAGTAGACTGATTTTCACTAACCCAACTTATTAGTCCTGAATTTCAACCCAGAGCTGTTCAGACTCTTGGAAAGCTGCAGGTCTGAGTGAGTGGATTGCCTTGGTGCAGAGAGGAAGGATTTGAGCTTCCTTGCATCCTGCTGCCCTTGTATCTGCCTTTCCAAGCTCGGACAGTGTGGCAGTGGTGTGGCACAAGTGGTGCAGCTGTAAATGAGCTAACATCTGCATCCAAAGCAGCAAGCACCCGGCGCCAATGGATGGGGATGCAGGTAGTCCACCTTCTTACCTCCTCCCTCCTGCTCTTGCTCCGGGGCACTTGTCTGTCATGGAGCAAATGTGGCACGGTGACATTCAGAGCGCCTCTCGCCATGCAAAGGCTCTGGGCCTGTGTCCATCTGCTATCGTTTTTTAATGTGGTTGGGCATAATTGGGGAGTGACTCATTCAGCCTCGTCCTTAATCGTTGAAGTGACAACAAATATGTTCTTGCCGGTGTTAATGGTCAAGCACTTTTTTTCATTTGGATGTTGCTATTTATCTTGCTGTGTATGAGAGGCTTATCATTGCTGTGGAGAGGCCAAGATTAAATCCATTCAGGAATGGACTGGCAGAGGGGGAGACTTTTCCTTGCAGCCTGGTGAATAGGCTTCGTGTTCTGGTTGAGCTCAGCAGGACCAAAGCACTTTCCATCTCTTTTCTTGTGATAAAGAGGAAAAGCAAATAAACAGAATTCATGTAACTGCTTCTCCACTTACCATGACACCCACTTATTGCAGTTCTAGCTGTAACTTTCTCACCTTTTCCCTGCTCTAGGACAGTGGACTGGCTGCTAAAACACTGTGTGACCCAAACTGAAGGTTTAACTTCGATTTCTAACTGCAGTTGGTTTTCCTTCCTCTCCTTATTGGTGATTTTGCCATCCCTACCGATCCTACAGCTGCCTTTAACTCCTCTCCTCTCCATCCCTGGGGGTTAATTTGGGGGCTTTCCCCAGAGGATGAGGACTGGCATATTGCAAGGGCTGCATGAGGCCAGTTTCATCCTGCAGCTTTTGCTCCAAGGAATCCGGTGAAAATGCATTAATGGGGCTCCAGCTCCTGGCAGGCTGTGGAGCATGGAGATTGGCTCAGAGCAGAGCATCCCCGTTTAGTGTGCTGCTGAACTGCTTTCCTTTTTCTGATGTGTGTGTGTACATCAGAAGAGGAAAGGGAAGTGAGAGAAGTAACTAAAAGGAAAGAAGCTTTAGCCAAAGCTTGCGTTTAGTGGAGCCGCATCGCTGCATCCAGGCAGGCTTGTGTGTAAACTGTGGGTCTCACTTCTTGGACTGGTGCCACTTGCTCCCCGACTTGCAGCATCCCTGGCATGACAGTTTGCTGGCTCTCTTCCCTGGGAGGTGGCACCTTAGGACACCCTCATGACACCCTCATTGTGTGAGGGCCTGGACAGGAGACAGCTTGTCCTCCTAGAGCCCCCTCTCTCCCGATCCTTTATTTGTCATCGGTGGTATTGGGCATGGCTCGTCTGGACCCACATGGAAGCCAGTGCTCCTTACTCCAGCCCCGTGACGTGGCTGGCTGTGCTTTTCTCGCATCAAGCTTCCACTTAAAGAAAGGCATCTCCTTTGCAGTCCCTTCTTTTCATGCAGACCAGGAAGCGAAGGCCAGTAGCCCCTGGCTCCTGTAACGTTGTGCTGGATGCTGCTGGCGGGGTTGTGCACGAGCCAAGCTGTGTGCAGAGCTCCCCGAGGCTTCTCCGCAGTTCTCCAACTGGGACACAAGCAGGGTGCCAAGTAGCGAGGAAGGGTGTTGTAACGAGCACCTTCGACCCTCTGCTCTGTGTCTGGGTCAGCTTTTGCTTTGGGGAATTCAGTGATGGTGCAAGGGAACCGTTAACTGCTTGTGGTTTATTATGCAGTAAAGTCAGGCTTATTTTAACTGCATCAGGCAATGGAGAGTTGATGCTTTAGAGCTTTGTGTTAGTGTAGCTATGTATCTTGCAATACAGTTGGCCCAGTGCTATGGCCTGTCCAGTTTAAGTCTGTACAAGCTTCCTCTTCTGTCCTAGGGCTGCTGGAAGCTCTGAAGACCTAAAGCTTTCACATTCAGGGCAGGTTTCTCTCTGGAGAGCTCTCATAGCCCCACTTAGAGCAGGAGGTAGGACTGGAGGTCCCAGAGGTCACTTCCAGCAGTATTTCTGTGATGCCAGCAGTTACTTCAAGGGTCTGCTCTCCAGCAAATTAATGACACTGTTGTGTTCCTGGCTTTCTCAAGTGTGCTTCCGCAGGCATTATTAGTTTTTTTGGAAGCAGTATATGTAGATTGAAACATGACGTTACTGCTGTGATGGGTCTGAAAGCTGTTGGCTTGGGAATGTCAGTGTCACTGCAATGCCCTGGATTACTGAAGTTTTTTTTTTAATTATTATTGCTGAAAGCTGGACATTTGAACAGAAATGAAACCAAGTTAGCTTGTCAAAGCAGCAAGTGATGTTTTACACCTTACTGTTCAATTTAACAGCACATTATTTAAAGATAAGCTTAATGACCTGTGGCTTCTTCTAATTTGGTGGTTTTGGTCCCAGTGTCTTCCAGTCCCAATGGCATTTTTTTATCATATATACTTTTTTAATTAATCCTTGACAGGGTTAAAATGATGCAAATCTGGGTGTTTGTTCTCTCCTTGGAAGCTGGGGAGGAACAAGAACCCCTTGGACCATGGAGAGCAATGTCAGGCGTACCTATGTGCTGTAGACTTGGGTGAGTTTGCAGGAGGCTCTGATTGCTACTGTAATCAGAACTGTGGCTTCTTCCCTGCTGCTTCTTCCCTTTGTCCCAGTTGAACATGGTGGTTGCTGTGATTCTGACTGGAGGGAAGGCAGAGAACAGTCAAAGAAAGAGTGGAATGGATGCTTATAATGTGGTCTGGTTATTCCCCAAGCTTGGACTTTTCTGGTTGTCATTAGTCCTGATGGTGTCCTAGTAGCAGTGGAAACTGTACAGGATGTAGAAATGTTAATGGTGAGGGACAACTAGTCCAGCCTCCTGTTTGGAGCAGGGCCATACCCAACACTAAATCAGGTCAGTTATGGCTTTTCTCGAGCCGAATATTGAAAACCTCAAAGGATGGAGATCTCTCACCTCTCTGGGGTCCTATTCTAGAGCTGCACCCCCTCCTGATAAATTAGGAATTTTTATGTTAATCTCCAATTTGAGCCTCCAAAGCTGCATTTCATGGCAGTTACCCATTATTGTACCATTTCTCACCTTAAATGAGAAATCTGAGCCATTAAAGAAGTGAAACAATTCCTCCTGTGCAACGTCACCTTTCTCTGCCAACAGTGAGCATCAAGCTGTCAGCTATGGCTGTTGCCTGAGCTCTGTAGAAAGCCTCAAGAGTGCAAGGTGTTGATTGCCTTTAGCCTTGTGATTCTTATGTTCCTCTTGGCTTCTTTCTCCTCAGGTTTCCAGCAGATCTCGCAGAACAAGGTGGCAGTGCTGCTCCTGGCTGGTGGGCAAGGAACTCGCCTGGGCGTGAGCTACCCGAAGGGCATGTACGATGTGGGCCTGCCTAGCGGCAAGACCCTGTACCAGATCCAGGCCGAACGAATCCGCAAAGTAGAGCAGCTCGCTGGCCAGAGATACCACTGCAGATGTGTCATCCCTTGGTAAGTGACCTGGAGCCACAGCCCCCGCACAGGGTCTTTGCCTTGCCTTGCAGCCATGCCTGCGTTGTCTTCTAGAAATGCTCTGCTTGGCGCTCTACACAGAGAGCCTCTGCTCCTCAGGGTTTGCATCCCCGCAGCTGGAGTGGGGGGAGAAGGAAAGGGAAGTGTGACCTGAGGAAGCAAATCCTGCCCTTGGATCGCTGAACGCCAGTGCAGCATGCTGGCTGTTAAAGCACACACCCTAGGACATCACAAACAACACTTCAGTGCTTGTTTCACATCCTCTGAAAGGGATTTATTTGTACCGTGCTTTCTCAGACCTGCACATGGAGTGATCGCTGAGCGCTCACTTCCAAGCCCCTCACCCTGCCCTTGCGTCTTATTTCTGCCACAACAAAGAACTTCTCAGCTCACAAGGGTAAATGCCTGTTGTGCTCCATTTTTTAGGCCACCTCCTGCTGTCGCTGCAAACAGAAAATGCCATCAAATGTCACTTAATTCTAAGGTGGCTTATTTAGAGCTGACTGGCTGCTCCTTGCTTTCAAAAGCCTCCAGGCCTCAGGAGAGACTGAATCTGGGGAAGGTGCAAAATGAGAGTTCCTTGGGGGATGTGAGGGTGAGAGAGAAGACACCGAGCTTATTCCAGGGAATGTCTTGCTGCTGGCTGCTCACCCCCCAAATAGGAAAATTTCTTTATGAAATCACTAGCCTGTCTGTCTGAGATAGGGTGTGGGCAGAACAAAAGAGCACACGTGCCTGGCACCTTCACGTAGCCCATCGTCTTTTACAAGGTGATTTGACTCCAGGTTGTAAATCTCTTAAGCCATGTGTATGACGTGAATTGCAGATATTCTCATCTCTGGTACTGCTGGGAGCTAGGATGGATTATTTGCAGCACACGAACTCTGTTGATACCCTGTAGATCTTGTCCCCTCAGGCTGAGGAGACAGTTGACTGCTACAGTGTGCCAGAGGCCAGTACATACTGTGCTGCAAGGATGTAAATCGGTGTGTTCAGGAGGCCTAAGTTCTCCTGTTTGGAGTGCAGGTACCCTAGAACGCTGTCAGAGGACCCTCTAATCCTATAGCAATAGTGATTGGAAACATGCTTGATGGGGAACTGGCAAATATGATTCCTAGCCATTGCTGAAGAAGGAAAAGAGAGAGAGATAGAAGGAGAGGGGGGAAATAGAGAGGCTTAAGAGAAGAAAACATCATCCAGCCAACATCTGAAAATGCTGCTCTTCACCTTGGCACAGACTGGCAGACTTTGAGCTCCTGGAGATTCTCAGCACCTGGCCCCGATCTGTGCCTCTTTAAACTCTTTAATATCAGTTTGAATTGGGGTGGGTGGGAGGCTGTTGTACTGTCTCTTGCCTCGTTGCCAGCTCACCTGAGTATCTAGACATCATTTGTGGGAGGGAAAGGCTATGCACAAGGCTCCATGCAGCCTTCAGGCAGGGTGAGTTCTGGAGAAAATCTCTCCTGCTTAATTACCTACCACAGAATACAGAACTTGAGACTTACAGTTCCCCCCCCCACACACACACACTTTTATATTATGTAGTTTGCTTTTTGCTTGTGTTTTCCTTTTGCTTTTGACTTGGTCATTCAGCATCTGCTCTTGCCCAGGTACATTATGACAAGTGAATTTACCCTGGGGCCGACAGAAGAGTTTTTTGCTGAACACAACTACTTCAACTTGGATAAGTCCAATGTGATCATGTTTGAACAGAGGATGCTGCCAGCTGTCACCTTTGATGGGAAGGCCATCTTAGAGGAGAAAGGGAAAATTGCGATGGCTCCAGGTACCCAACTTTTCACCCTCAACTGGCTCAGTAACATAAAATGTGTGGGTAATTACTAGCTATCACCAGCCTTGGCACACAGAAGCCTTCTTTTGCAGGTCAGTGTTAATGCTTTTGATTAGCATGGGACTGTTCAGTTAAGTGTCTTCAAGCTGGTAATGAAGAGTATAGCAATGTCTGTTCAGTTCTTCCGGACATTTGTCCATGTCATGCATTTTTTTTTATCAAAGCCTGGGAACATGGGCAGGATTAGAAGGACCAGGGCAGCTGCAGGTTAGGAAAGACCTGCATTGGCAGGTCTGTGTATACACAAGAGGAAATCCCTGGGTAAAAGCCCCTGGGGACCTGACTCCATGAAGCTGTCGGGGGAGCAGCGTGTGCTCTCCACTGCGCTTCCTTCTGGCTTGGGGCTTCTGGTCCCTCCACAGAGCGATGCTGTCACACTGGGGAGAAAAGTCACCTGGTTGAAGGCTCCCATTCAAGGCTGATAGCTTAAAATGGCAAATAATTCAGCAAGAAGACAAACTCTTTCCAAATGATTGAAATGTCTCGTCTTGAAAAGTAGCTCTCCCTTTCTTTCCACCTGGCCTCGATAACAGAAGCAGTCAAGGCAGTGCACTCAAGGCTCTGTTGTAGTGATGTGGTTTGGGGCTGCACAGTGGTTTTCCTGGGCTGACTGGAGTGTCAAAGATCTGTGTTTGCTGAACAGATGTGCAGGTGGCTCTTCTGCAGCTGGAGTTCAAGTGTTTGAGAAAGGTACTAGGTTGGGATGAGAGGGAATCCACAGAAAATAAGATCTATGTTAGTCTTTCTCCCCCAGGCTGATTTTTAAATGCATTTTTACTCTGCACTGGATGACAAGAAATGTAATAATTCTCTGTCATGCTCTGTGTAATACTTTTTAGTGTTTTTCCTCTAGAGATCTTACAACACTTCATAGAGTCTCATACTATTTCTCTGTGAGGTTGCTGTACACAGTCCCGCGTTACAGATGAGAAAAATGGGGTATGGAGGGGAAGTGGGTTGCATGAACTGAGACTGTGGCAACACTGGGAATAAAATCCAGTAGCATTGACTCTTGGCCTGCACATTTGCTGCTAGAAAAAGTATTCCTTGCTCTGCAGCTTTTGCTCTGGCAACGTTAGTCACACAAAATCGCGCTGGTACTAATGAAACAGGGCCTCCCTTTTTCTCTTGCCTTATAGATGGCAACGGTGGTTTATATCGTGCTTTGATGGATAATAAGATCTTGGACGACATGAAAGAGCGTGGTGTCCAGTATGTGCACGTATACTGTGTGGACAATATCCTCGTGAAAATGGCAGATCCCGTCTTCATAGGCTTCTGTGTTTCCAAAGGGGCTGACTGTGGTGCTAAGGTGAGGCAGCGCCAATGGGCCATCTCCTGGGAATTAAGGTCCATCTGAGCTTGGAAGCTGTTGGGGAGGGATGTACCAGGATATTAAACCTCTGACAAAAATGGCTGGAAAAGAGCAAATTTCGACATGACGGCCTGAAGTGCAAGTAGTAAGTGCTTGGCTGCCAGCGCTAGATGCAGAGTACATGCGTGTAGGTTAGCAGCTTTACTGGCCTGGGGCATGTTTAGAGATGCACATTTTAGTTTAAACCAAGCATGGAAAATGGGGAAAACCAAAGCAACCTGATTTGAGACTAAAGTGCCAGACTCTCAATGCTTATAAGGAAAGATTTATCTTGCAGTAATCATTAACACTGCTCATGCAGAGAGGGAGCTAAAGGTTAAGAACTGTAAAGAATTCTTCATTTAATGCTGGGTCCCAATTAAAAGTCCTTGATTACAGAGCTGCCCTCAAGTATGCTGCTTTCTTTTCACTGTGGTCTGCCCCATGAGCACCTGTTTAATTAAGTGCTTGAGTATGGTTCTTAGGCCAGGTTTTGGGGACAAAACATGCTTCCAGGCTACGCTCAGTACTATCCCATTTGTGCTGCTGAGGCACTGGAGAAGCAGCCTGTAGCAGAGCCTTGTAGGTGGTTTGTATGTGGGAGTTGGGTACTGGTTTTTCCTCCGTCTTTGCCATCTCCTTGTGCCCTGTGGCTGCAGGTGGTGGAGAAGGCCTATCCCACGGAGCCCGTCGGGGTCGTGTGCCTTGTGGACGGGCGCTATCAGGTGGTGGAGTACAGCGAGATCAGCCCGGAGACCGCGCAGCAGCAGAGCCCCGACGGGAGGCTCATGTACAGCGCGGGCAATATCTGCAACCATTTCTTCACAGTTGACTTCCTGCAGACAGTGGCCCAGTAAGTTGGAGCAGACCTGCCAGACAGCTGTGCAGCCCCAAAACACCTTCAAGACGGGGTAGTGCGGTTTCCCACTCGGTACTTTCAGTTGTGGGTAGGCTTTCAAAAAGCAGCTCTCTGCCCTTAGATCTGATACATTCAGGGCATGTTGAAGATACCGGTCTGTTGTGTGAATTGTACCTGTGGGAGGATATAGAACTGATGTAGTTTAAAATGTTGGGATAGTTATGGGAAGACCTAACTTCACTTCTGTCTAGTCTTGAGCCAGACAATATTCTTGAAGAGCCTGGTCCCTCTTTGTGTTAGGATCTGCTCTGGTACGCTGTCATCCTGATCAGATAACACCTTTTTTCTTCTACCTGTGGTTTGAACTGGGTACAGGGTCCTTATTCACCTCCTGCTTTACCCGATTATGTCACATTGTTGTGGGTGCAGAGCGGCCACTGCTCCCCACCGCACAGATGACTGGACTGCTCTGGTCAGTGGAATGTTTCCTGGATGTATTTTATATGCGCTTGGAAAGAACAATATCCAAAACAGTTGAAATATTACCAAGAGCAGTAATAAGCTGTCTGTTTTCCATAAAAAACAAACAAACAAACTACTTCTCTCAAAGCAAGCGTGAAGTAAATGAATTTGTTTCTGCTCCTTTTGCTCTGGCAGGAATTTTGAGCCCCAGCTGAAGCATCATGTAGCCATAAAGAAGGTGCCCTACATTGACGAGGAGGGAAATCTGGTAAAGCCGCTAAAACCGAACGGGATAAAGCTGGAGAAGTTTGTGTTTGATGTGTTCCAGTTCTCTAAGTTAGTGGCAGATGTGAATCTTTTTTTTTCTTTCTTTCTTTTGTTTTCTCCTTCTCAATGTTTGTTTGAATGACTGTTGGTTGTAACAGGTCTTGACAGGGAGCACACATTTTGTGGGTGGTTTGTTAAGAAGCTGTTGCATCTACCAACCTTCTCGAGCACGAGGGTATCTCCACAGGCTCTGAGGGGTGCATTTGCAGAGCCCTCAGCAGCAGCCAAACTTGCTCTGACTGTGCTCCAAGAACCGCCTGTCCTAAGGAGGGCGGCATCTCTGGCTGAGCCTCTGCTAGTTGCATGAACAGAGAAGAGAAGAAATTATATATATAGTCCAAAGTCAACATTTAATATGAGCCATGTTTGAGTATTTCGGCCTGCTGAAATCAGGTCTTTGAGAATTGCAGCTTCCATGGCAACTGCAGCTCGTGTTACATTTTCAGGGCATATTAAGCCGGGCTCAGTTCACAGCCTTTGTGCTGGGGAAAACAGCTTGCTCAAGCACCGTGGGGCCGAGTTCCTGTTGCTGTGGGAACTGTAAGTGTTGACTTGCCAGGCTCTTTACATGTAGCAGAGATCATTTGTCCCATAGTGGTAACACAGTTGGAGATGCTTTGTTTTTAGAGGACATGGGATTTTAGTAGTTTAGGGATCCCGCGTATAATGTTGGGTATAGTTATTTTCGCTTTTAGAGTGATTTGCTTTAGAATTGGGCAGCTCAAGATTTGAGCTCTCGTCTCTGTTTCCTGATATGCATCAAGTAATGAAATAGCATAATAAATTATATAAATCACTGTGATGAAAACAGACCTGATTTCAGAGTTTTAAAGGGGCTCATTTGCAAGCAGGGATTTCTCTGTGTGCTTTGTTAATGATAATGCAAAGCAGCTTGGCAGATGCTCTTCACCCTTGAAATGCTGAAACATGCAGATGTTGCTGTGGTTTTTATTTGCATTCCTACTTGACTGTCACTTGTGCAAAGTTGCTAATTCATACCCAGAAACTGGTGTCCTCGGTTCTTCCTTGCCCACAGACTCCTAGATGGAGTGACCACTTCTTGTAGCAGGGAGACAGCTGCATATTTTGTTTCAGAGCCAAATTATCCCCAAGACTGACCACCTGCAGTGCAACCTGCATCCTAGCTTCAGATATCACTGCTGCCTCCACCCTGTCTTGCTTATTATCCTCTTAGCTGAGGCTTTTTGTCAGTAAAAAGCCACCTAGGCTCTGGAAAGGTTTCTGGGGGATCTCTGAACCCATTTGAGAGTCAGATGTTATGTTCTCCGGGAGCCTGGCCCTCTAGTGGGGTGTTTCTGTCATCAAGCTCTGGTAGTCTTTTGCCCTACAGGTGGGTGGTGGGCTTTCCATAGCTTAAATCTGCCAAGAGCAGTATGTACGAGCCTTTCCCACTTAAAGTTGTTGTTGATGGGTTTCTCTCTCTTTTTTTTTTTTTCTTTTTTCTTGGAGAACAGGATTGATGGCTAGCATTGTTTCTCATTATTATCATCTCCTTCCCTTTGCTGGTAGGAATTTTGTGGCATTTGAAGTTGTGAGAGAAGAGGAGTTCTCACCATTGAAAAATGCAGACACAGCTGAGAAAGACACTCCTACCACGGTTCGGCAATCCCTCCTGGCCCAGCATTACCGCTGGGCTCTCGATGCCGGGGCCAGATTTGTGGATGAAAATGGCTACAGAATACCAGAGAAATTCAGGTGTGAATCTCTGTGTGCTGCTTTGTAGCTTCTCTTTCTGTTGCCTGACCGCTGCTGTGGTGGACGCTGCTCCACAAAACTGGGCATCACACGGTGCCTTGGCGTGACTCCTATTCAGCTAGCCTTTTCTGGGGATAGATGTCCATTACTGCTCCTGCTTCATTACTAATTATAAATACAATAACAAATGTGCAAGTAACTCGGTGCTGTGACTCTGACACATTCCTGCCTTTGGTAATGAGATGACTCCTCCTATAGCAACTCTGACACACAGAGGCCACAGCCTTAGCTAGAGGCAATCCCTTTTAATGTTCAGGATTTAGCCAGCCCAAGCAATGGGAATTTGTAGCCATTGCCAGCTTTTCTGAATGCAGCCCCAGGACTCATAGCTAAGCAGCAGGCTCAGGTGGATATAAATATCAGCTATTATGTAGCAGTTAACCACCTCAGATACATTCTATATCTAAATGTAAAGCTTTGTTTACTCTATGGATTGTTAGTTCATCAGCTCATAGTTTAATAAACCTGTAAGCTGTTTGTATTATTTGAAAGGCCCTTCTTCAGAAATCACCTACTTGCTTTGACGAGAAATAGTTGGAAGCTGCTTGTTCTCTTTTATTTCCACATTCTGGTTCAAATAATGCCTGATGCTTGTGAACTTAGCTTCTCTTATCCTGCTGCATGTCCTGTTCTTGCTGAACTGTAAAAGAAAACATGCCATTTTATTAGCCTAGCAAAAAGTTAAAATCCTGTTTTCTGTCCTTCTAGTCTCTCAGGAACTGACGATCCTCCTGCTGTGTGTGAGATTTCTCCATTAGTGTCCTACTTCGGAGAGGTGAGGATAACTATCTATGGAGGTATTTTTAAGAGAGGGCACATATGTATCTGATTTCCTGCCAAATGCAAGGGGTTTCTTTAGCTGTGTTTGTCAAGAAATGGTAAGATCAAGAAAGCCAGGAGTAGAGCTCTGTGGTCCAGTCTTGGTTCCACCATGAACTTGATTCCACTTTGCCAAAGGTGCATCTGTTTTAACCATCTGTAAAACTAAATTTGCAATGAAGCGGCGCAGTTTCATTAAGGCTCACAAATACTTTGTGATCCTCTGAATGCAAAGGACTAGAGAAGTGCAAATATTCACGTTATAAAACGCAGAGGGTTCCTATATATGCCTGCAAGCTAATTTACACTGGTGATCTCTCCAGGATGTGCATACCAAACAGGAAAGCATGGTATGTGCATCATCTTGGGTCAGCATGTTCAGAACACATTTCAGAAATTCATATCCCTAAATTAATTGGTTCCAAGAAAGCTACTTTCATTTAACAATGCAAAGAGAAGCCTTTGGATGTTGGGCAGACAGATGGATGACAGAAGGATAAGTGGTGGACAATGGGAAGGGTGTTCATAAAGCTTCGACTGTTATCTTTGCTGGCTCTTTTTTTGTCTGCAGGGAGCTAACTGGTTCCAATAAATGCATTATAAAAACAAAATGAAGACAATGCAACTTAAGTTGGCCTTTCTAGGACTGTTTTTTAACGTGACTTAAGGAGAGCAATTATAACTCGAGACCATGCCTTGCTCGCTTTCGCCCTCCCCAACTTGGGAGGATTTGTTTCCAAGATCCCTTGTCTTATGGTTCATCTGTGTCTGTCTTTCGTGAACTCCAGTCATGAGGTTAAAACCCTTTCCATCTCTGTCATGCTGTAACGTGTCACTAAGGAAACTCTTGCTGTTGTCTGTCCCTTCCATGACCTCTTCATTTTAGGTAGTCAGTCATTTCTTGAGAACTTAAAAATAGTGCAGGTAACCAGTGTGATGTGTTTGCAATGTTAACTGTGTTGTTTTTGCATGTTCTCAGGGTCTGGAGATGTACATGAAGAATAAAGATTTCTGTTCTCCCTTTATACTCGATGAAAACAAAGCAGAAATGCTAAGAAATTATTAAATTCTCAAATCTGATGCATATCCATCTCGAGAACTGACAAGACTAAAATGTCAGCTATTATTGTGCTATGGGAAATTGCTTTGTGTTACCGGCCGGATGCCAAGTCCTTGTAGCAGCTGTGTTTACACACGCTCGTACTCGCTCCAGTGCTGTTTGGTAACTTTGAAGTCTACAGAAGAGATCGAGGCCTTTTTACCTCCATCTGTTTTGAAGACTTAGATATAAATGAAGATTAAAGCCTTCCAGATACCAAACAGATTTTGTATTTCTTTTACTTTTGGTGTTGTTGTATGTACAAATATATAAATCAACCAATAGAGACCAAGCAATCTGTTCTTGTATTCAAGAAGATTAAATCTCTATAGTGCCTTGCTCAGTATCTTATTCATGCTGCTTTTTTTTTTTTTTAAGTTGTGAGCAGAGAGGAAGTCAGATCAATGTGAGGCCTTAGCTTGAAGAGCATTGAATGTCTTGGTGCTTAGGGGCATTTCATCTCTTTCCCAACCCTGTACAGGTCAGAAGATCCAATTCAGCAGTACGATCCTGTAACCTGATTTTACAGAGGTGTTTGATGTAGGTAGGGATGCTGCCATACAAAGTGTTGCTTGGGATACAGACTCTAAAGCAGGACAAATAGGTTTGCACTGCTAAAGCTCAGTGCTGGCACTCCAAGAAAACAAAATAAATACACAGCTTAGAAGGATTGCCCTTTACAGCTGTAATGACCTGTTTATTTTAAAACAGGATGATAACAACTATTTTTGTGGCAGCCCTCTGCACTCCTAATCTTATGCCAAAAAATAATTATACTTGGCATTTTTTTTTCAATGCTATATATGGAATCCCTAACAGGGGGACACTCTATAAGTGCCTGACAGTAGTAAGAGGAACAAATCCAGAGGGTGAAATTAAATGCTTAACCAAAAGACAAGACAAGCAATAAATAAATAAATAAAAGACTTAATCCCAGCACAAGCTGTGTAAATGGCACATGCACTAGCCTCTGCCTTTATAGTTTCTGGGCTGGTAGTTTTCCAGCACTCTTTCACGTATGGAAACACTTCTTTAGGTGCCTTCTTTTTTTAAAGATTTTTACTAACCATAACATAAAAAGCAGGCAACTGAGAGTGCTAATTGTCAGAACATATGAGCAATGCCTTGCCCGAGGGATCCCAGGATAGCCATGGTGTGCAGATTGATTCTTCACGTCTACTCTGGTAGACCTGTCGCATGGGCAGCTGCTGCTGCAGAACCCGGGCTGAGTGTCAGCTCACGGGCTCACAAAGCCCTTCAGGTGTGTTCCTGGAGAGGATTTAGTCGATGAGCATGCTATACCCCTTCCAGAAAATCAGGCATTGGAGAAGGCAGTGAGGAAGCTGCCTCTTCTGGATAGCTGTGCTTCATGCATCTGCTTCTGCTGAGAAATTAATGTTCCTTTTATGATGCATAAATATTTTAAATAACTTGTGGTTTTCTCCAGTTCTTGTTATGAAGCCACATTCCACATGTTGGTGAAGTTCAAAAATAGCTTTGTGACTAATTGTAACTTGCAAGTAGGCTCCAGTTTTCTAAGGAAAGCATCTAAATGTCAGTGGCAGGGTTTTCAAATATCAGCTATATCTGCATATATACAAGTATTTAGTCTTTTGTACCTGCAGATCAGCTAATTGCAGTCTGATTACCTCATTGCATGTGCAATGGTTGCATGTTCAACCAGTAAGTCTGATTTTTAGTATAAATTAAGCCTTTACACTTGACACACAATTCTGTAATTTCTGTTGCACAATCTTGCTATGGTCATTCCATTCCATTCCAGTCAGTCAAGTTTTACATCTGAGAAGAAATCGCATTGTATCTTTGTTGCTATTGCTTGTCAACTCAGGCACAGGATTGTTTTAAATTGCACTGTGCTATAAAAGAGCATATTTCTTCTGCTCTTGCTAAAATGCTTTCTTGTTTGAGACTGAATTACAATACGACCCTGTGTGCTTTGATCATGTGAACACTGAGCTACTGACATGATTTTTAAGGGTTGTTTTTCAAGGAGGAGCTGAGTTAGAATGCAAAAAATATCCTTTGGGGATTTTTAAACAACTCCTCACGTTTTAAACTGAAATGTTACACAAATTTTTTTGAGGGACCTGAGAATAAAAAATGTCATATATATAATAAAACTCTTCTGGCATGTATTGTGAAAAGAAGAAAAACTTACCTGAAACAAAGGCAAATCCCACACTATTCCAGAAACTTTTGGAGATTTAAGCATTTTTATAATAAAGATATTATTGTGATTTCTATAACGTGTCTATCTGTTTCTTGTTTGTGAAGAAAATATCCTTGTTGTGTTTGTCCCTGCATGGATGCTGTGACCACAGCCGCAGATCACTGTCATTGATGGCATGGCTGGGTGCTGTAACGTGGTGTAGTGCCCGTGTTTCAAACTTACAACATGACGTGGAATCCAGGAGACTCTAATACTGGAAGAAGTTTGATTTTGTGATTTTTTTAATGAGAATACTGTGTCTTATGCAGACTTTTTTTTCTTTTTTTTTTTCTTTTTTTTTTCTTTAACGCAGTTTATGGTGGGATAACACTTCTGTGAGGGAGGGAGTTTATTGGTGGGTAGTGTGCCAACTGCTTTTATTTAAAGACAACCTGAGCAGGATATGGTTCTGAGTCAGGCCTTCATAGATGTTGTTTAGCTAATGAGATACGTTGAGCATAAAGCGTAACAACACATCTGCTCTGTTTCCCATTGATAGGCCCCTTTTTAAAAGGTCTCTCTTTATAGAACATCAATAAGGGAAAATTTAGTATTTTTTCGTAAGTGACAGATCATCTTCTGCCTTCTTGGGGTTTAGTGCTGTTTATGACTCAGCAAAGTTCAGAAGTGCATATTCCTCCTTTCATATCTGCTTCATCCATGCTTCTCCTCCATATGAAGGTTGCTGGAGACCTTTTATTTTTAGACATTTTAAGCTAACTGAAAGGGTAGTCCCTGTGACAGGAAAATAAATACTTAAAAAGAATCTTTTGGAATTCTTTTAAATTGTTCCTCTACTTGTCTATGCAGCATTTTTTAATACCTACCAAATATTTTGTTTGCATGTTTAGTTTTTTTTTTTTAATTATGAAATGCTTCCCAGCTCTCCCTCCCCAGTTTTTGGTTTAATCTGGAAATCCAGTGCAAAGTGCATTCTCATTTTACAGGCTTGCGAGATGTATATTAAACGCATCCTTATGTACAGCTGAAGGTGAATTTAGTGCCAGCATGACCACAGTGCTCTGCTCCAGAACAGTAGTCCATGGCTGCACCAATATTTTCTTTTTCCCTGTTGAACTTTGAACCTGAGATAGAAGGAATGTGAGATAGCAGTGGATATTACAAAATGGCAACCACAGTGGGGTTTGTGCTGAGCCTCAGATGGCTCCAGGGAAGCGGCATGTTCCCAAAGGCGGGTAAGGGGTGACATTTATCAGCCCGGGCCTTTCTCTTGATCCTCGTTGCGCTGCTTTTTCTTCTGTTGGCCTCATGCATGCACCTTTCCATTTGGGCTTCCTCCATGCCAACCTCAGCCTTTCTGGGACTAGTCTCTACAGCGTAGTCATGTGACATGGAGGAATAGAGAAGGATCCCACCATCGCTCCCTGCTTTCTGCCACAGTGGCCGGGGTGCTTGGTGGATAAGGTCTGTCTGGCTACGTGGGGAGAGCACGTAGGAAGCTGGCGCCAGGCAGGGGAGAGGGAAAGCAACTCCCAGGGCGACCCGTGCTGTTGTATAAAATGGCACAGGAAAGGGCTGTGGCTGAGGGGGGCAGCAGCAAACCACCCGCTCGCGGGTCCGCCACCGGGGACCCCAACGCCCCCGCGGGTCCGCCACCGGGGCCGTTGCTAGGGCGCGGCGGCCCGTTGCTAGGGCGCCATAGAGCCGCGGCCGTGCGCGCGGGCTAGAGCGGCACCCGGAAGCG